CAGAAGACTCCAAAAGTACCACAAGCATTATGGGGTGCCGTCTGTGTTAAAATTCCAATTTTTAAGGTTTTTAGGGGGAGTCGATATTTAATTCCACGGAGGCGATGTTTAGCAATTACTATGCAAGTAAATTCCGAGGAAAATTCTGTTAAAACAGGCATTGTTTAGAGCTAGAAGACTGCATTTAGGGTTAACAGGGCAATATTTACATTTATGGGGTGTTATTTAGATATAAAGGGTGTTATTTTGATCTATAAAGGGTGGTATTTAGATCTGAGGGCTTTCAGGGCAAGGTTTACATATTACTGAAGGCCGTGTTTAAATGAGTTTTAAGATGAGGCGATGTTTAAAACTGTAGAAGGTGATATTTAGATCTAAGGCAATGTTTAGACCAAATAAGAGTCTTTAGAAGGTGAATCTTGAGTCAAATGAGGCGATGTTTAGCACACAATATAAAAAATTCTAGTTACTTAAAACTATAAAAGGCGACATAGATCTAAGGCAATGTTTAGACCAAATAAGAGTCTTTAGAAGGTGAATCTTGAGTCAAATGAGGCGATGTTTAGCACACAATATAAAAAATTCTAGTTACTTAAAACTATAAAAGGCGACATTTAAATCTAGGGCATTGTTTATGGACCATGATGAAGACTGTTTAGTTTAGTTAAAAGATGGTATATTTTTAGTGAGGCAATGTTTAGCTCATCATGCCTATACTATAAAACAAAAAAGAACTACAGAAGGAGATATTTAGTTTTATTGGGCAATGTTTAGAAATTAGACCATAAAAGGCCGTGTTTAATTATTTTTAACATGAGCAAAAGATTGAAAAAATTTTAATGTGTGAGTAATAGTCTAATAAACGTAATAATTATTATTAATTAAGGGCTGAGCTAGCCACACATTTAATTTAAAGGTGTTAGGTGTGGCTTGTTTACTATCATCATGGCTACTGCTCAGCAAAGGTTAATGTAGTCAATTCTAATTTTATTTTATGTATTTTATTTTATTTATTATTAGATCAAGTGGTCGTCCAGCCATAAATGTTTCAATTCGTGAAATTGAATATTTAAAATCACTCCGATTTTCATTCACTAAAATATCTGAAATATTGAGCATTATACTATGTTTACACTAGCCTAGTATCCTGGGTTGAACTGGTTCAGATTGAAAAGGTTTTTAGTATAAACTCATGCCATGCCAGGCTTATTAGAACCGTGCTGGCCTCTGTGGAATATGCGTGTCAGCTTAGTTTTGCACGGTTTCCTATTCTAGTGTAAACGATTGTAAACTGCATCCTGGGTAAATCACTTTATTTCTAACCATTTTAATAACTATTGCCACGTGTGTACATGAAAAATTGAAAATGGCGTCTTGGTCTAAGCCAGAGACTTTTAAATTAATCGAAATTTGGAGTGACGAGGCAATACAGGAGCAGCTTGAAGGCTGCACTCGAAACAAGCATGTTTATGAAAAGATATCCAAGAAAATGGACGAAGAAGGCTATCAAAGAAAGTTTGAACAATGTAGAGAGAAGATTAAAAAACTAAAACAGGAGTACAAGAAGATTAAAGATAAGGTGAACAAAACAGGCGAAGAGGGAAAGAAGAAACTGATAGCTGGTTGGGACTATTATGAGTCCCTTGATGCTATACTGGGACATAGGCCTTCTACTGAGCCAGCTGTGGTTATTGATAGTGGCAGTCAAGAAAATGTAAGTGAACATTTATTTGATGATAGCGCTGAAGGAGATTCTTTTTCAACACTTGATTCTGACTGCAAGCAAGGTTTAAGTCCCAAAGAATCTTTAAATTCAAATTCTAAGGAATCAACTAAAAAGAATAGAAAGCGTCAGGCTGATATACTACAAGAAACACTAAAAGATATTGTAAAGCAAATTGTTGATTCACAAAAACAATCAGATGAAAACTTTGCTCGATTAGAAGAAAAAAGGCTTCGGCTAGAAGAACAGC